AGAAAAAGAGATGAGAGAGAGAGAGAGATGAGAGAGAGAGATGAGAGAGAGAGAGATGAAAAAGACAGAGATAAGAGAGAGAGAGAGAGATGAGAGAGAATAAAAGATGAGAGAGAGAGAGATAAGAGAGAAAGAGATGAGAGAGAGAGATAAAAGAGAGAGATGAGAGAGAGAGATGAGAGAGAGAGATGAAAGAGAGAGATGAAAGAGAGAGATGAAAGAAAGAGAGAGAGAGACAGTGAGAGTGAGAGAATAAGAGTGAAACAATAACAATGACAATAAGAGTGAGAGTAAAAGTGAGAGAGTGCGGCCGCAAGATACGCAACGCTAACCGCATGCCAAAGAGCGACGACAAGACGGAGTCGAACGGAATCGAACTTGCGAAGAAGGAGGAAGGAGGGAAGGAAAAAAAAAATAGAGGAAGACAAGGAAGAGGAGAGGAGAGGTGGGGAGATAAAGAGGGGAAGGGGGGCTTCGACCTGAAAAATCAGGGGTTAGGATTTGCACCCGATCGAAAGAAACCTTGCTATCGCAAGAGTAACTCCAGCTAGCTTCGCTAGCTTTCGTGATTACTTCGTCGTAAATTCTATATAATATTTCATTATATTATTTTAATATTTAAAATACAAATAATCTAATATATTATTTATTCCTTAATTTCCATTAATAGCATAATAAATATTCGAACCTTCGAACCTTTTCTTGGAAATCCAAGACAATCCCGCCAAATGCTACCGATTTAAATTGCATACCATTTTATTTCACCTCTCACAAAATGTGTGTATTTCTTCTGCTCATCCTCCTTGTTTAAAGTATCGACGATTCTTGTTGTATCTGTTTCTTAGCCTTTTCCTTCGTCCTTTCCCCTTATCTCAATTTCCTAAACATGTAAATATCTTTTCTAATTTCATCTCCTCCGTTGTGCGTCGTCGTTCTCTCAAAATTACCATTCGTCCTCTGCTCCCGCACCTCCTTTAATGAAATTCCGAATCCAACCTTCGTCGGCATCCCCTAGGAATATTTGTTATATAATCTTGTTGGCATAACAAAAAATCTACTGCACTCTCTTTGGTGCAATCTAGTGCACAACAAAAAACAATATCCCCTCATCACCAAACATTTGGTAACCTAAGCAACAATTTGACCAAGTAATATACGCTGCCTCTTACAGTATATCCTTAATCACCTACGATCCGGCACTTCGACTTGAAGTGCGTTGCCTCAATAAAGACGACTTCGATCCCTTTGAGGAGCCCTCCTTGCGATGGCGTCGGTCATAACCTCTCTGAGCTCTATTCCTCCTTTCCAAGCATCCCAGCCCCGATCAACAGGAGCTACGCTTCCTTTATCTGTCGAGCGCTCCCGCACCAAATGGCTCGCCTTTGCGTCCTCACTATCCTCACTTTTGGAGGCCATCTCCACCAGTTCTCCCACCGGTCGCACGCCGCACGCCCGAACGATCGGTGCTTAGCGCCCGAACGATCACGCCACACGGGGCTGCGATGCTTTCGTCGATCCCGCGGTGCCGGTGGAGGTGGTGGATACTTCGCTTTCCCTCAGGGCTGGGATCTAGGCCTCCTGAGAAATGCTGACCAACGGATTCTTTTTGGATATGATAGTCCTGAAGCAGCGGTGAGATTGTCCATTCGTCTTTCTTCTCGTTCTCAACTTTGCAGGCCTTTGCCTTTCTCATTGCCTTACTCTTCTTCTCAACTCAGTGGCCTCCTCCTCGGCCTCCTTTTTATCAATAAACACTGGAGTTGTTTTTGATTAACTAACACTGTTGTAATATTACTATATAGGGATCAACTTAGATATATCTTATATTATACTTGTAAGATGTTGTGGCATATGATGTTGGTTTATCATAATTATTGTGTAAATAGTGTGACGTATATATATATATTGATAAATGCACTATTGATTGAATCTGTCATAGGTTGATTTAACTGTTCATTTGTACCGTTAATTTCCGAGATCACTGTCGTCATTTATTTCTTCAAAGGTGGTTTTCACTCCTGCATTTGCAATCGTTTGGCACGTTTCTTGCCGTATGCTCGGTCCCCGAGGTATTTAGCGGGATCTGCTCTAGTTGCTCTAGTTGGCTCTAGTGTCTGGGTTTGCGCAAGGTCATGCAAAGGTGATCTGTGAGCGCATCTCTCGCCTAAGTATTTATATATTGAATAAACACCTCGAAAACTCTGTTCGAACCGACCTTTGCACCACCTATATAAATAGCCAGTGCGAGGGAACCTTTCCCCACAGTCATCTACAGTACTTCAACAGCGCAGTTGTTTACAGCAAGCTCTCCATGACTCACCGCAAAAGTGTCAGCCATATGACAACTTTAGGCACCCCAAACCAGCAGCTTCCAGCCTTGTGATAGAAGCGCCAATTCATACAGCACCTGGTGACGCCCAGCGCGGATGGGGCAAAAAAGATCCGTACGTTATCTGTCTGTCCCTAGTGTGCCGTAGCGTTTTTGTCCAACCGATAGTTTGGGCGCCTATATTTGAAGTTGCGCAACATAACGTGTGCCACGCACACATGCACATCAATGTGATATATCTTGATACGTACATGCATCATCGGTTCACTGGACAGCTCAACTGAACAAGAAGCTTCCTGATTCCAAGCGGAGTGCGAAGTAGCAACAATGTCTCCTTGATACCAATCCTGTCTCTCATCATCGACGATCCAACATGTAGCTAAACAATACATAACAATACCAGGCCTCAAAAGGCCATAAGACTTTCAGAGATGCGTATACTCATGTATACTCATAAGAGGACATCCAAGCGGTCACCGAGAACGTCTTTCGGTGGTCCCTCTCACCTGTTCGATCTTGTTGAGCGTTCCCTTCAAAGGGCCAATCTTCTTCTGGAGGTTTCCAGGCCTCATCCCGCGCAGCAGAGGTTTCCACGCGAAGTCTTGATACGTCGGGCAGGACTGCGGATCAAGCGGATGAGGGCGGATGGTGACATGTCAAAGCACCTCAACACCTGTGGACTCAATTGACACAGAGTTGGCCATGGCTTAGAATCACGTCAACGACACTCTCTCTCTCTCTCACTTTGTGCTCACAACGGTCCCGGTAGACAAAGGGAATCCCGAAGGGTGAACAACTCTTGCCCAACCAAAACAACTTACTTTGGCAGGTCAGGTTTGAACGAGCCAACTGGGCAGCCGACAAATAAGGCAAAATGGAGATGCCATCGTAGACTGCCTGGCAAAGCTTCAACCCCAGTGGAGGATTTTCGCATCGATCTCTCAATGCATGAGAAGCAGGCGTGGGCCTACAACAGTGTTCTTTGTGTTTCGGTTCTTGCATCGAGCCTCGACACAAGCTAGGCATCCCACAATGACTTCCTGGAACGGGTCGGGGAGGGGGTTTGTGCATGTGATAACTTGCATTCTCGACTCCACAAGTGTGGCCCAACAACCGGTGGCTCGTTCATTCAATGGACCTGCAGAGTGGACCTTATCATCGTATTTCATGCACTTTGTCATGCCCTATCAAGCTTGTTGTCATCTCGCATCATGATTGTTTGTTGGTTCTGCTGACAGGTTTGCTTATTCTGGAAGCGTTTCTTTCAGCTGAGGTCGGGGTTTCATCATGTTTCATCCGTGTCCATCATGTGCACGGGGCATCCCTGCAAAATGCTGCATTTTGATGGAGTTGGCGCACTGTGATGCCCAAACGATGAAGCATTGTAAATATAACAGTCTGTTAACATGACCACGGCAAAAGCAATCAGAATGACAAACAGCAACATAAATACAGTAGGCGAATTGGTGGGCCTCAGTCAGTGGATCCAAAAATATATTCAATAAGAAAAGGGAAAGCTTGATGCACCCCCTAGCCTCAATCCGCGGAGGTAGACAACACAAACAACACATCCAACGAGCGGAGTCCTTTCCATCCCGGCCCTGACCTGAGCGACAAAGCCCAATGACACGGGGACATCTGAAGTGATGCCAATGTTGAACCTGGATATACACTATAGACCTGAGTGTACCGGAGACTGTGACATCCCCGCAAAGCAGCATATCCTAGCCTCAGTGGTAGTAAAAACCAAATCCTGGTCGTACATCTGGCACCATGTGACGAGTGAAATGCCCAGGAAGCTCCCAACTTTTGAAGACTTGGCTCTGACTGAAGCACTTCCGCCAC